TGGTACCATGGATTCAAAATGTGTATCGCTCTTTGAAGTTAACCACTCGATAATCATTCAATGTAAAATTATTTAACTGTCGCATTTGCAAGCGCCTGCTACGCAGGCTACAGTCATGTCCAATTGGTTTTTTGTAGTTGTTGTTTTGTTTTATTTTTTAACTATTTGACCTTGAATATTCTTGAAAATGTATCAGTACTGCGAAAGGCGCCTCGCGAGTTTTGATGAACAAATGCTTGATTGTCACATTTCAATACAGCGTAGAGCCAACAAGGTTTTATCAATGCGAACGATACCCGTTACCCATGCGTCTATATCTTTACATCATTCGTAAATCGTCAAAAATTGTTGACATAGAAAAGCATCCAAACACATAACAATCTCTTGTCTTCGTTGGGTTTCATCACAATAACGGTTAGTGACCTTGATGACTACTTCCATAGGCAAATGAGGAAATTTAAAAAATAAAAAACAAGCAATCACCAAAAACTCAGACCTGGCTTGCCTGCTTACACTCTGGAAATTTACTCCAAGGGTATTCCCCTTTTAAACATGACAAATACACAAAAATAACACAGTTGTCTTTTAAAAAGGCTTAACCACGCTGATTCCTAGGAGTGACTTTCATACTCTTTACTTTATTTCTTTTCAAACTGGCTCCTTATTTTCTTTCAGCTCTGACACTAGCACTTACTTTCAAATTGAAACTCCTAGTCACATATATCTTTCTTGGCACTCAAAACTTCACTTTTCCGACAATTCTATTACCTAGAATTTACTGCAGATACAGAACTTCACCAGGTGGCACTGCAGAGGGGCAAACTGGATTGACTGTAATGTGTCATGACAGAAGCAGAATTCTGATAGAGCGCTTTTTAGAATAATAATATTTTTAAGGCATTACTTTCGGGGATGACAGATTTTGCTCATTTAAACTATTATATCTTGCTGGCAAACTTTAAATTGTAAAAATGATTCTGTGATGACATACTAGAGGTTTTGACTGATCATTTATTAATGAAATCAAAGAGTGCTTCGAAAACTTGGACACAAAATTAGTCCATGGGCCAGAGTAGGTTCTCGGTACCACTCGAGGGGAGAAAATTTTAGTGATATCTCATGAAAAGTGAGATTCCAGATACGCATGATAGCAATCGTCAAAGATTAGCTTTCAGTTGTTTCTGTTTACTTCCTTTTTAAAAAAGATATTGCTGTAACATGGAAGGGAGGTTAATATTTACGAGTGGTGCTGAAAAGGTGTTTTGGGGTCCTGGCCCATGGACTAAATCATGTTTTCCCAATTTGGCACACTGACTGTGGGTTAAAACATTGACGTAAAGCGCGATCTACCAATTAAAAAAGCAACCCTCCGAAATTTCCAAAATTTTATCTAAATCGCCTCCAAAGATATGAGCGTTTTAAAAGATGCAGCGCAACCCAAATTTTGCGTTTTGAATTTATTCTTGAATAGACGTCCCCCACGCAATATAAGAGGCCTGCAGTGAGGTCATGCATGGTCAACAGGAAACGAGTTAAAGTAAATGTACGGTACTGAAGTGCGCAAAAAACACGTGCAACTTGTATTGCAAAATTAATTGCCCCAAAACGAGTTGAAAAGCGATGTTGCTTGTTTTTCTACCCACGTTCACATACACCTGTCTTGCAGCAAATCAGGTTGTTGCAGGTTGCGAAAAGCTGTTGTAGAAAGTAGAAAGTACTCCCACTTTTTGCAACACAATTTGTTCATGATAAAGAAAATAAAGGGAGATGTAAGAATCAACCATAAGAGGACACAGAAACAATCTGAGCCCCAGATGGGATTCGAACCCATCAGGGGCGGATCCAGGATTTTTTTAGGAGGGGGTGCACTCTTCTCTTGCTCTACTTCAACACAAAATCCTGGATCCGCCCCTGATGGGTTCGAATCCCATCTGGGGCTCAGATTGTTTCTGTGTCCTCTTATGGTTGATTCTTACATCTCCCTTTATTTTCTTTATCATGAACAAATTGTGTTGCAAAAAGTGGGAGTACTTTCTACTTTCTACAACAGCTTTTCGCAACCTGCAACAACCTGATTTGCTGCAAGACAGGTGTATGTGAACGTGGGTAGAAAAACAAGCAACATCGCTTTTCAACTCGTTTTGGGGCAATTAATTTTGCAATACAAGTTGCACGTGTTTTTTGCGCACTTCAGTACCGTACATTTACTTTAACTCGTTTCCTGTTGACCATGCATGACCTCACTGCAGGCCTCTTATATTGCGTGGGGGACGTCTATTCAAGAATAAATTCAAAACGCAAAATTTGGGTTGCGCTGCATCTTTTAAAACGCTCATATCTTTGGAGGCGATTTAGATAAAATTTTGGAAATTTCGGAGGGTTGCTTTTTTAATTGGTAGATCGCGCTTTACGTCAATGTTTTAACCCACAGTCAGTGTGCCAAATTGGGAAAACATGATTTAGTCCATGGGCCAGGACCCCAAAACACCTTTTCAGCACCACTCGTAAATATTAACCTCCCTTCCATGTTACAGCAATATCTTTTTTAAAAAGGAAGTAAACAGAAACAACTGAAAGCTAATCTTTGACGATTGCTATCATGCGTATCTGGAATCTCACTTTTCATGAGATATCACTAAAATTTTCTCCCCTCGAGTGGTACCGAGAACCTACTCTGGCCCATGGACTAATTTTGTGTCCAAGTTTTCGAAGCACTCTTTGATTTCATTAATAAATGATCAGTCAAAACCTCTAGTATGTCATCACAGAATCATTTTTACAATTTAAAGTTTGCCAGCAAGATATAATAGTTTAAATGAGCAAAATCTGTCATCCCCGAAAGTAATGCCTTAAAAATATTATT